ATAATAGATGCTTTTAAACTGTGTTAGATGGTTGCCGTGCACGGGTGGGTATATTTGAGTGTTTACTTTTCATGTCCTAAACGATGGAGCAAACCCAGCTGAATATACACATATAAACGATTGCTGCACGAACTGTCAGTTACTTTTAAATCTATGAATAGGTAATGTCACGAAAGAAGCGGCGTGGTGCTTTGTCGATCTATCGACTAGCCTCGCCTTGTCTTGAAATGAACGAAATCTTACCAAAACTCTGCAAGCGGTTACATTCGGAGCTACTACGTTTCGCTCGACGAAAATTGCTGGCCTGACCGACATAAGGTGATTCTATGGCGATCGAAATAGAAGGAGCATTGAAACAATTCTCAAGCTTCGTCCACTTGGTAATCATGGTATGATTACCAATATGATCGATGATGATTATCGTCCAAAGTTACTATTTCATTACACTAACGGCTCAATGTAATAATTCTAACTCAATGGATTCCAAATCCGATGTTCGTTATTTTAAGGTATATATAAGTCAGGACAAGTATTTAAGATTCAGTCAACAACGGTTTTTTTTTTTGTAACGGGTCCTCGTGACTGCATCAGGCATCTGCTTCTGGAAAGTTATGTGTAATAGCTTCCGCAGTTTGACTGATTATATCCCACTGGGTATCTTAAACTATGATTATCTACAAGATGCAACTTGATACCCAATGTAAATACAAGTACATGTACAAAATATGTTGCAAAAGAAAAGACATAAAATAAGACATAATTAAAAGAAAAACGGCCTAAACGACTGTAAGTTCGATCATCGTATCTGATCCTCATCTGCATCCCACCGTGCCAAAAATTCAGGTTGTAAAATGCATAATAAACGGCAAGGACAAAACGGTCTCTGTAACAATGTCAGTAGTACAGCTTATTTGGATGACGGTGTAGCCTCTGTATTAGAAATTTATAGCCATACGCTGAATAAGGTGATCAGCAGAAGGGTTCCTCAGGCCAGTTATGGTCGATGACTCATCCGGTCGTCAGAATACAAGGTAGACTAAGTCTACTGCCTCGTCTTCTCCGTATAACTGAATAAAAACCAAAACAAAATAGACAATGTATCTGAGATAAAGAAACTAGGGAACTTCCCTAAATTAGTCCCTGGGTGAGACTCCAATATAAAAAGGACGGCGGTGCCCGTAGGAAATTATGAAAAAAAAAAAAAAAAAAAAAAAA